TCTCCGGAGCCGGGAGCCTCGCGCAGCCCCGCCGGAGGGCGGCCGCCAGGGAGCCGCGGCTCACGGCTCTCCTGTCTTGCTGTCTCCCTGCAGCTCGCTAGCCCCGCAGGAGGGGACGCCGCGGATCCTGGCAGCCCTCCCGTCCGCCTGATTGGGGTCTTCTTTCACTTTTGCGGGGGGAGGGGGGTGCGGGAGGGAGGGATGCGGGAACCGCCACAGATATCCCAGACTGTGTAAGGACAGACGCGCACCGGCCCGACTCCCACCAGGCTTCTGCCAGAGGGGCTGGCGCGGGCAGCGGCCGCAGCGGGCGCTGGGTAGAGCCCGAGCCGCGTCCTCCGTCTGTATATAGAGTGATCGCAGGTTGTAAATAGCGCCAGCGGACTTGTCTAAATCATATATTTTTGTCTAATAAACGCAATGAAATGTTGGGCCGCCGCGGCGTGGCTGCAGTCTGAGCCCCCTGGGCAGCTCTAGGCTGGGGCGCAGCGGCCGCGCTCCCGGGGTGTCCGGCCTCTGGGGCCCGTGGGCCGGCCCCCCTGTCCTGTCCGGGGCCGCCTTGCCCGGGACACAAATGAGTTCCGTTTTCGGCAGTTTATAAAAAACGATTTCTTAAGGTGGGCAGCGATGGGGAAATAATGAAAAGAATTTCCAGTCGCGGCCCCAAAGGAGAACTTAGGACGCGAAATCAATTTATAACTAGCTGTCTCAACAGCGGCGGCGACCCGGGCGGCGCCGGGACATAATGGGGTATGAAATTCTGCTTCCAGTGAATTTTTTAGTCATTTGGTTAAATCAGACGTGCAGAAGTGGGAAGTCTCTTACAGCTCTCTGGTGTGTTGGCACAGAGGCGGGCGACGCCTGGGTGCTTGGAGAGTTTGACGCCGAGTGGGGCTCAGGACTGGCCTCCCAGGGAGGCCCCGAGCGAGCGGGAGGCGCCTGGGGCTGCCCGGCCGGCCGCTGCCTCCACCTCGGAGGACTGGGCTGCCCGGCCGGGCCTTCAACTGGGCACAGGACTTGGTGCCCAGTTGCCGAGAGCCAATGTGCCCAAAGCAGCCAGCGGAGCTGTGGGCTGCGGGAAGCCCGCCCACCGGAGAGCCCGGCTGCGGCCTGACTCTGACTCGCCCCTCTGGGCCCCCCTGGTGGGCAGGTGGGGCTGGCTGCTGGCGGCCAGGGCTGTGGCTGGCTCGGTCCCTGGTCTTACCCTGCCTAGGGCAGAGGACCGTCGCTGGAGGACGACCCCAGGGCCACCGGGCGCCAGCTCCCTCCCCTAGTGGGGGTTAGAGGAAGGATCCCCACCGGGAGCCCCCAGGCCCAGAGGGGCAGCTGAGCGGTGGAGGCTTGGGGTGGAGTGGCGGAGCTGGCCGGCCTGCCCGGGCCAGTGGGGGGTGGGGGGCGGGGCGGTCGCTGGGGTGCGCAGCGCCTGGGCTCCGGGTTGGCGCTGAGAAGCCGGGGTCTGGGGCCAGCCTGGGGGCTGTGGCCTGAGCTCCCCAGCTCCCCGTCCATGGACGTGGTCCAGGCGCCCTCTATGGGCGGAGGCCGGAGCGGGGTCCTGCAGGCTGCAGGGGTGTGTGTGGTCCTGGGGACTGGGCCCAGACCTGGGCCGTGGGCATCTCCCCGGGTGGGGCGGCCTTCTGGGTGTGCGGGGCTGCGGCGGCCGCCGGTGAGGGTGTTGCGGCCGGCCGGTGAGGGCGGCCTTCTTTCTTTAGGGCAAAGCCAGAGTGGGGCATTCCGAGAGGGTGTCCTCCGGCCCCAGGAGCCCCCCAGCTGGGCTCCCCTCTGCAGAGTTCTTGCAGCGGGTGGGGCCGGCGCCCGAGTCCTGGGCGACAGTGCACACCCGCGAGCGGCAGGCCCCCCCGCCCGGTGCGGTGGACCCTTCTGGAGCTGGAGAAGCGGCAGCAGGTGGGCTCCGGGCTCCGGGCGTGCAGGGGCGTCTGGGGCGGAGCGGGGTGGCCCTGCAGGGCCGGCTGTGGAGGTCGCCTGTGCTCCCACCCACTGGGCGCCTGCAGGCTGCCTGCCGGGCACCGGCCTGGCACACCCCGCAGCCTGAGTCCTGCCGGGCATCGAATTGTTTTCCTCCGGTGACAAGCGGGGAGCGAATTCTGAACGCAGCACCGACAGCGCCTCGTCCTCCGTGTGCTGTTGTTCTGGCCCCCCAGAAGCGCAGGCCCGAGCCGGGCCACCGGGGCTCCGGGGAGCTGGGGCAAAGGACCCCCTTCTTCTAGATGGTTCCTCTGGAACTTTGCTTGTGCAGATGTAGCCTCAGCACTGGGCGCCCCGTCTGGGGCCGGTTTTGTGGGTAGCTGCGGAACCTGGGGGGCGGGGGAGGGACAGGCACGGCAGCACCCCGACCCCTTCCCTGAAGAAGGCGCCGAGTCCGGGCGGGGCCGGCATTGTGCCGGCCGCCCCGGGGGCCGAGGGGCCAGGTCAGCCCTGCGCAGCCAGGGGCCTGGGCAGCGACCAGGCGCCATTCTTCACCTGGGCTCTCTGCGCCCCGCCCCCGTCCTCCCGATCAATTATCCGCGCTGCACATTTATCTCGCCCGCAATATGGAGGCGCCTGCTCCTATCTCGGGCTCAGCGCCCTGACACTGATGAATGCGGTGCCCGCGGCTCCCAGGGGCTCGCGCCGATGAATCATGCCCTGTGCAGGTTCCGCCGTCCTTGGAGGGGCACCGTGACAGCGGGGCGGCCAGAGCGCGCAGAGGGCAGGGCGCCGGGGGGGCGGCGCTGGGCGGCCCCTGAAGCCTGAGGGCCGCTCGGCCGTCCCCAGCGGGTGCGCCTGCCAGGCCTCCCACGCTCCCTTCCTTTCCGGAAGCTTCCAGCAGGCGTGAGGCTGCCCGACACCCCCAGGCGGGGCTCAAGGTGAGCCGGGGGCTCCCAGGGAGGGACCCCAGGCTTACGGACGCGCGCAGGCCGCTGCTGGCAGTCGACACCGAGAGTGACGGCCGTGGAGTGGGGTGGGCGCTGTCTCGGGGCGCCACCTGGGGACCCGAAAGGAGCGATAAACTGCAGCCCTGGGGGTGGGGGTGAGGGCCGGCTCCTGGGGCTCGGGGTGTGCAGGGACTTGGAGCGTGCAGAGCGCGGCACCCCGCCTC